CAGCAACCAATCGTGAAAGTACAAAGGGGTCTTAAACCAAAAAACGAAATCTCATTGGCTGGTGTTTACAGAAAGGTTTGTTTATATATCATTCATAGCTTGAATTATATAACATTTTATACCTAAAAACATGGCGAAAATTGATATTTTATGGCTGTTGACAGTATTTTCTGATGTATGGAGTGATAAAGAGATATCCAAAATCCCTCCTGTAAAAACTTTAGATTCTAATATGACTACAAAATGAAACAAGAATTTCGATCCTGACTTTATCCAATGTTCAGAATGGTGTTCCTGAAATGTATTAAAATATGTGCATATTTAATGAAAGTATGGCTCATTTGCATGGGGGGGGGGGGGGGGGGGGGGTTTGAGTGCGGTGCCCCTACAAATAGAATCAAATTATGTGGGAATAACTGGATAATAATAATAATTTTAAAAACAATAATTTTTTCATACAAAGCAGACAGCTCAGCCCGCATCTGCCTTCTGCAACATCCTCACAAATCCATTCCTGCTATTGGCAGGATATCGATTCCCTGTGAATGGATGGTGAGTCCAGACGGGGACAGCGGTGTGAAGCGGTTACCGCATCACTCACTCACACTCACACACACACACACACACACACACACACACACACACACACACACACACACACACACACACACACACACACAGGTTGATAACTGTCTGCAAGCCATGTGGTCCCTGTCCATTGCAGCACCATTAATCCAATCCAATATGTCTACTTAATGCTGTGTGCCATGAGGAGAGGCAACACTTATCATTTTTAATGTCTCTGATAGGACATGGCCGGGGAGGATCACTCCTAAAAAAGGGAGGGTGTAATCGGACTTCACTATAAGAGCATCATGTAAAAGAGTTGTTTCACCCATATTACACAAAAACATATTTTCTCCTCCCCCTAGTAGGATATAGCCATGCAGATACTTTTAAAGTGGTTTAATGTCGCTACAACGGTGCAGTGGGTTGCAGGAGGTTGTAGAATAATATAGATAAATTGAAAGTTCTTCAGCAAACCAAATAATAAGTGGTCAGGGCTGGTGGATTTGAGCAGACTCTGATCACATGCTTCATAATAACCCATGGAGAAAGAAAATGCTTCTTGAAGCATCATAGTATGAGTTCAAAAGACAGTATATCGCATGTTATTATTCATGACATAAACTAACAATCTTGTTACGGATCCTTTCGATTACATTTCCTTTTTTTTTACTGAATTGGGCCTTTGACTGGACACACTGTTAAATTACTTACTCTTATCTGGCTAGATAAAAAGTATTGCTACTACATATCAATAAAAAAGACTTGGTTAAAAAAAATAAAAATAACGCCCAGCAAATAGATACAAAAACTCTTTCAGGGGTTTTTCAAGAAAAATATAGTATGAGGGCGATAACGTCACTTCCTGCCAAAATTACGTCCCTGCCCACTTTCCGGCGGAAATGAAGCATTAGAAAATGTGTTTCCTCGATAAAGCTGAATATATTGCACCTCAAACAACAAATAAATCCCGAGTTACGGTTGATTTACTTCCTCTACAGAAAAAAGGACAGTAAAAGAAACGATCAAGTTCAGAAAACACAGTTTGAGTGTAAGCCTGCCTGCGAATTCCACCGCCAGACCGACCGGACATCGATCCCTATTTATTCGGAGCTCCATAAAAACAAAACTGTCTATGCCATCTGACGGTCTATTCGACACGATTGTCATATTTCTGGAGTACTTATACTGTTTTTGATGAACAGAAATATTTTTTTCTGGCATCACTTTAACATTTTAGGGGGGAAATCTGCATTTTGGTATGAGGGCGCACGCCGAAAGTAAGAGGTCACAGCGCATCTGTTACCCGGTTTAAAACCCTGTCTCATGTATTTCATATTTGCAAATGGTAGAAATCACAACTTGGTGCAGTTACTCTATGGCACCGTTAACAACAACTAGAACTAATGACTGGTATAACAACTAAATGGACTGCATTTTTCGAGTCTTTGCAATATCTTCAAAATGCTTTTACATATAAAAGTCAGCCTTCAGCTCCATGAAACTCCTCAGGGAGACTTACCTTCACACACATACTCACACAACATTTGAGAGCAATTTGGAGTTAAGTATCCTGCCCAATCACACATTAACTTGTTGACTTCAGGATCAAATCACTGACCAACTGTTTGGTAGACCATTATATACTTCCTGAGCCACAGGATATTGCTTTCGGTATAAATAGTATACAGTTGACCACAAAACTCTTTCTCCAGACAAAAACATCAATTGTGCTAATAAACCCATAATAAGGTTCAATAGTAACATTTTTAAAAGTCTAATTTCTACAATATCGGCGCATACAATAGACTCTAGATTGTATGCGCCGATATTGTAGAAATTAGACTACCAAAGTATTTCCTCAACCTGATCAACACCCTAGATTCTAGAGTGTTGATCAGGTTGAGGAAATACTTTGGTTTTGGTGAGGAATAGATATAATTAGGTAATAGTCACACATCTTCTATTACAAAAAGGGCAAACTATACACTGGCACTGGACATACACATCAATAATGTGAAATGGTGGGTCATTGGCTAGTACTTCCCACTGAAGTGGAGAGGTGTAGCAGTGGCGGCTGGTCAATAAAGGGCATTATTAATTTTTTACATTTTTTAAATAGATTGTAACTAATTATCCTCAGAATGTATGCCTTATGTACAATAATGTTTAAAGGTCACTTATTATGCAAAATCCACTTTTTTATATATTTTATACATACATATGTGCCCCCTCCGTGTAAAGAGATTCTGAAAGTTTCAGGAAAAACTATTCGCTCACTTTTTGTCCTGATCCATTTCTATAAAAACCCGTCTGAAAATGAGCTGATCAGATTTTGGCCACTTTATGATGTCATAACGATTTTTTGGCAAGGTAACCCCCACCCACCTTATCACCTGAATCTCCTCCTAGAGCACCATTGTGTTTTTTTTTAACTAAATATCTCGGGGGGAGGGGCGTGGGGAGTGGCTCCTTATTTTTCATCTAAAGTAACAGACAGAGAATCAGCACTTTTCAAACAGGGATGAAACAGAGGGGATTATGGGATGCTACAGTGCATGATCTGTTTGGTGTTTCGAGTCAAACACTTCAGAGACATGTTTTGTATATATCTGAGACCTATAATATATTGATGAAAAACAGTATAATAGGGGACCTTTAATATATAACATCTTAACCATTATTACAGTATGTTTCATGACTCTCTCTCGTTCTTAGTTAAGGTCAACCAAATGGTGACCGTTGTCACCCGAAAACTAGGCAAGCAAAACGTAAATTCAGCCAATTATCGTCCTCAGATCTGATGGCCAGAGGGAGACAAATTCAGCGCCCAAGGCAGTGTGTGCGTGGGAACACTTTTAAATGTGATACAAAATGGCTGCTTGTAAAAGTACTTCTGAAGACTCTCGACTTCGGTGCCACTTCAAACAGTTTATACTGTATGAACTATGTCCAGGACAAGGTGTTTGGAAGTTTTGACTTATCGTTAACCACACTGAAGATTATGGAGGTATACCACACTCATACAGCTGAGTTGAGTTTTTTGTAAGGTCAGTGCTAGTCAGTCACTAGCATTTGTAAGCCCTTCTACAACCTAGTCAGTAAAAGCTTCCCTGCAGTGCAAGCCACTTTGAATCTGTTGATTAGTCTTCTCATATTTGTAAGGCCTCAATTTGTCCACCCCCCTCCTAACATCACTAGAATTCATCATTTAAGGTGTTATTTTTCAAAAATGTTCTTCCCGGGGAGAACCTCATAATGATTCATATTTAATTCAAAGGTATGATTATGGTAAAACACTCTCAGGAAATAACTCCTCACTCTAACAACTATGGGATAATAAATGTGGCAGAATGTGCAGCGCTGAGCTGTCATCACCACAGATGGGTCATTGAGAACATATGACACTAGTCTTAAAACCAATGTGTCATATCCAGCAGACAGTAAAGAATATGAGCAAGTTGTAAAAAGATGCATGACAATCCTTTAATCTTAATTTGAAGCAGCCTATAGAAAAAAAGACTCCCCCCTCGAGGCCCATTTGGCTCGTTTTATTTGCCTTCTCTGCTGTGAACTAGGAATGTGCCAGCTGGTTTAGTAGCTGTGACCATTTGTATATCCCGTTGTGCTCATCAGCAATCACCATAACCTCCAGTCATTAAATACAGAGAGCTGCAAGGCTGATATTAAAGAGATGAACTTCTGGCCTTGTTATTTCCCAATCGTTCCCACCGCCTAAGACTTGTGGCCTGCTTGTCGAGACAGGCAAACATGATGTCCCCTTTTTAACTGACTACTTAAAAATGCATTATTTGGTCCAGACTACATGTTTCATATTAATCGTTTTGGTCGGTGCGCAATAAATGCAAAGCCTTCATATGATCCTTGAGGGACGCCGGATCGGTTACGAAATTGCGCATGGATAGAGATGTGTTGTGTAAAATCTTGTGCTCCTTTGTGGGCTGTTGAATTCTTTATTGCTGTTTAATAAGTCATAGAAGCTACCATCCCTGACACTGCACTTAATTGAAAACATATTAATATGTTACAGCAAGCCCCCTGAAAGGATTGAATCCAAAAAGGATCAGCTCAAATTATCCAGTTTCATTTGGTAAATTAAGCGATCTACTTCCCCTGAAGAAAGGCAGCTGATAAAATATGCTCAGGAGAAGAACAAAATACCAGTATAAGCTTCTCAAAAAATAAATGTGCCTGTGAAGAGAAATAAAAGAGCAGCATAACAAAATGACTACACTACTGACTGCTTTAATTATAGCTGAGCATATGGTGGACTATACAAATATGGAGAAAGTCAGTCCAACATATCCTCCATCTCTCAGACCTCAGCTCCTCCCCTATTCATGCGGGGCTTCATTTAATCAAATCCTTCAACTTGGACCACTTTTTTTTACACCACACTGCATTTGAGCACCGCCACAACTTGCAGCAGCACTTCCTCTTCCCACATCCGAGTGGCAATTTACACCCATACAGGCAGGAGAGAAGAGTGGAGGATAAAAAGGACTTCTTACATCCTCTGCATCTTTCTCTGCCGCCAGCAATGGAGAAGGAGCTCATATTTAGCCCAAAGTGGCACCTTGCGTTTTGCTTTTTGATTTTGATGATGTTCCAAGCCGCCGAAGCGGAGATAACTTGCAGGTCTTGCCAGTCTGGAAATAAGTGGCGCGCTCGGGAATTAATGCTACAATTCGACACGAGTGAGTCCGCAACAGGATTAAAGAGAGAGGTTGTTGGACAGGGAGACGGTGCAGGGAGATCTGCAAGTGCGGAAAGTGTGCGGTTCCCCTGTGCAGCTGGCTCCGTTGAATGCGCTCCAGCTCCAGCGGAACACACGGAGCCGAGACGGAATATAGACGCAAAAAACAAAAATGTGGAGAGCGTGAAAATGAAAGTTTCCAATGTCAAAACGAGTCAGGAGAGCAGCCCGGGTTTGACTTTTAGCAGAAAGCGCGCCAGGAGGAGCAGTGATGACGGGGAGGAAATCACATCCCCAGCCCAGAGTCAGGACCCGGGAGAGGGCGCACGCAGAGTTCCGCGCTGGAGCGGAGAGGACCGGAGAGGAGCCGGCACTCCGAGGCACGACGAGCTGAAAGTTGACAGCACAACGTTCGCCTTGACCGGGGACTCCTCTCACAACCAGGCTATGGTGCACTGGTCCGGCCAGAACAGCAGTGTAAGTGACTTCTTATGTCCACTTTAAGCATCACTGGACACAATCCCCCTAGAGCATGTGCGCGTATGTTTGTCCGTCAGGTGGGCACGAGCCACCAGGAGAGAGTAATCTGTGTCTGATGGAAAAAATGTGTGTGTGAGAAAGAGAGAGTCCACACTAATTGTTATCATAATGTGTCTAACACTAAACATGTATTTTACCACACGAGAGGTAAAATACTTAGGGTTTCAGAAAGATATTATTCCCACGACCATAAAGCCTTTATTTTATTATGAAACCTTTACATATAGAGCAATGGCTTACAAATGGTTAACTATTTTACCACATGAGAGGTAAGTTTCAGAAATATATGAAGCATTTATTCTATCATGAGGCTTTTAAATATAGAGCCATGGCTTCAAAACTATTTTCACCAGATTGAGTCATATTCTCATGTTATTAAGCCCTATCTTTCTTGAGTGAAATGGCTTCCTCTGGGAATTTTCAGAATGAAATTGTAAAATGTTTCAATTTTTTCCCCTGTAATTTCAATACATTCAAAATTATACTGGTCTTGTCATGGCTTTTATTATTTGAGTTGTAAAGAGAGACGGTGGGGGTTTAGTTCACTTCAGGAGCTTCTTCAGTGCGAGCAGCTGAACCGATGTCAGGCTGAAGCTGTTCATGTTGATCACGGAGCGTCTCTGACCAGAGGGGAGGATTCTCAAGTAGCTGCAGGTTATGGGAGAGGTTAAGCAATTCCAGCCGTCCCTCCTTCCTCCTCTAAAGCCAGGTTTCCTCTGCCAAAGGGCTGAATCACCTGCCTGCTTCCTGGCCTCTTTGCTAGAGGGTGTGAGGTTCTTTCATTTAATTGCAGCAATGGGGAGATGAGGGGTTCTTTTATCAGGTGCTCAGACTCAAGAGTTGTTAGTGCAGATGCAAAGAGCTGGTTGTGACATGCAATATCCTTCATCTACCAAAAGCAGAGCGAAATGTGACACATCGTAACTTTTTTTGTCAATCAAACAGTACAACATTTAGAGATAGAGAGCAAATCCTCATGAGGTAAAGATGTCCTTCACCTGAGTTCATCTCCAACAGAGGGTTGGAACATGGATATTATGTATAAATCACAAATTGAATAGGATAAAGACTGCAAAATATTCGAGTCGCAGGAAGCAAAATATTTGCGAAAGACTAAATATGTGTTAAAGTACCATTTTGCATTGTGGAGCTGCAAAACATCCCGTACTGATCCTCTTTAAAAATCACACCATGATGATATGCATATTTTGACAATGATAATCAGGGCAATGATGCTAAAATGATCAAAATCAAAGAAGCTTTATTGGCAAAAAGACAATATTGCCAAAGCACATTGTACAAGGTGGTACAACAGAAAACATTAAGCAATCATGTTACTTCAATTAATGCAATTCAAATTCAAGGAAAGAAACATAACTGATGGAGGATATCATCATCCAAATAGAAGTTATGATTATAAAATGTGTGGTCAATCAATGCTCTTACACATTTGTCAGCCCTGTATGATTTAAGTTTGCATTAAAGTGCATATAGTTATTATTATTAATTCTGATGGAAACTGTTTTTTAATTTTGGGAAACCTGTGCCTTTATTGAAGTGATGGAGGAAAGGGTGACACAGAGGGGCTGATGGCAGCACATGGTCCCAGGCCAGGTTGGACTCCCACTTTTAGCCCGTCTTCTTGAAGCATTAATGTGAAGCGTCTTCCCCAACACTGTTGCTGGTATTCTGCACGGTGCCATCCATGGCCCTACACATTTGATCACTTGTGGTACCTGCTCCGCTGCCTTTTAATGCAGCATTTTGTGCATTCTTCAAAAGACAACAAGTGTTCGCTGTAGGAGGCGAAGAGAAAGCTTTTTCTTGTGTTGGATCTGAGCATGAATACATGCTTTCTGTTGAATCTCATGCGATAATCTCAGCCTAAATGCATTTTGAGATTATTGCTTTTAACTTTAATTAACATGGGAAGAAGAAAGTCAGTGGGCAGTAAAGCACTGGAGCACAGTTCAAATGTATTCGTTTGCTGCGAGCGCTGATATCTCAACACTTCTCTTCTTAAAACATAATTACCACAGAGTGAGAATCAAAGGGAAGAATATGGATAAAACATTTATTTTAGCCCAGAAAATGTGCGGCCCTGATTTTTTTTAATTTTGTTAACGTTTGTCCTCAAACTATTCTCTGTGAGTCAATGTCCTTACTGTTCCACCGCTCAATGTAACACCCACAGCACTTAGCCCTGTCTGTAACAAAGCCAATTACAGTCAAACACGTATCACCAGCTCCCATGCCCTCCACTCCCCCACTGACTGAAACTCTATCTATCTCTCAGGTGTTTCCGCATTGACAAACTACTGTAGCTCACGACAAAAAGTGACCTTACAGAGGAGGCAAAAAATCCTGAAAATGTCAGAAAAATGCACAATTTCCATGCTTATTTCCTTTTTCTGCCAATTTATGTTTACGCTCCAAACAAAACAGTCATTAATATTGAATAGCCCTGTTTGATTTTGTGATGGGAATAGATGCTACTTGTGTAACTAGGAAACAATTTGCCCCTATTCTTTCAGTCGACACAAACAGCTTACTCGAGGCGTGCGAGAATAGAGCATGCTAGTGTCGCTGCTATAAGCAAGAACAGACGTCCTCGCTCTTTACAATCTGAGCCGCTGTATAAATAAACAGATGACTCCACAACATGCCACGGAGTAAACGTGAAGAAGATACAGATAAGGATTTGCGGCTCTTAATATTTAACCTTAAATGCATTTACAAAGCAGATCTTTTAACCGCCCGCATTACTGGGAGCATGAATGTCACATTGCATCTGAGGGTGTAATTATGACTCATAGTAGGGAAAGATGTATTATGAGTAAAAATACATACACACAGCAGCTGAATGGAGTAGTAAATGATGGGAACATAATAGGCCAGGCATGCAGATTGGAGACGTAGACACTGCAGGCTTCACTCAATTAGCAGCGCCCTGTATTTGTGCTTGCAATATTAATTTAAATGAAAGTATTGGAGCAAAAACAAGAAAGTAAAAAAAAAACCTTAATTTTCCAATTTCACTTTGGGGAATGTTTTCTGATCATGACTTTTAAAATACAAATGTATGTAAGTAGCCTAAATAAAAACCAAAGAGGCAGTACGTCTAGCTATAATATATCAATCTTTATTTTAACCCTAATTCTTCCAGTAATCCCCATTATTTTAGAAAAGTAATCTCATCTACATTTGTATAACTATAAGGGAACATCACTACCTTTTTTTGTTTCCTGATTACATCATTCCGTTTCATTTAATCATTTACTCCCAATGCCTGCTTGTACTACATTAGGAAATGTCCCAATGGAAATAATTATCAATGTTTTTTTGTGCTATTCCTTTCAGGATTTACCCTGTAATTTTGGATAGAATAAATGTTGTATTGGAATCCACTTTAGGATGGTTCCTTTGTTCTGTCTACTGCTTCTGCTACTGATTTCCCTTCAGTCTCTTTAAAACCATTTGACAGCGCTCAGAGAACTGAATGCGTTGTACTCAACTGTATAGATAAAAAAAATGGGTGTGACAAAGTAAAATTATTTCATAAAAAGTACAACATCCAGCTGTTAAAGAACTACAGACAATAGCCTAATACAGTAGAGGTGTTACTCAAGGGATAACATTTATTATGATAGCCAGAAAGGCCTGAGCGGAGACTAGTGTCATAATAATTGGAATGTTCAATGGTGGAAGAAGTCCCTTTACTTAAGTAAAAGTATACTACAGTGTAGAAATACTCAGTTACAAGTACAACCCTTGCATTTATTGTTTGTTACCTAACTGAAAGTACAGAATCATTAGCATCAGAATATACTCAAAGTACCACATCTAAGTAGTAATAATGCAGTACGGCAATTTTCGGAATAATAGCTTTCATATCACTGGGTTATAATAAGAGATCCATTAATGTGTATACAGTTGCTGAACTCAAAGTAGGGTTTGAGTTAGTATGTCAATCTGTAATCCGGTCTGGTTCAGAAAATAAAGTCACTCCTGAGCATGTCTCCCTTAAAACACAGTGGACTAAAAGACGCAACAGCAATACTGAAATCCCAAACTTCAAGAAATCATTGTCATGAAAATGTTAATTTAAATTAGGGTTAGTAATTCAATCTGCAACTGGTCCCAAAAATCAAGTCACTATTGTGCCTGTATTTGAATTTTTTTTTTATATTGACCTTTTCATCTTTTCACATCTCTCCGTCAGAATTATACATGGCCACTGTTTTCCATTCAACTCCTATCTTCAATTATGGAAACAAAGAGAAATACATCTGATCAAACAAATACCCGCTGAGTTCTTACTGGCAGATTCTGAGAAAAAGGTTAAAGTCAAAGAGCAGTCTCACCGTGGGGCCCGCTGGCATATTGCTCAGATGGATATACAATATGCACCCGGACACTGTTATTTACATTATGAAATGTCAGCCATTTAGAACCATGTTCTGTCACTCAGGTGGATTCTGTCATATCGCCCATCAGTCGTAGAAGTTTACGCTTGAGCTTTGATGGTTCCAGAAACGTTTTATTGGACATGTCCGTCTGGAACATGAGGCATGTCAATAAGAAATTAAACAGAAAACATTTTTTGTTGGATTCCAATGCTCAGTCTGTAGGGACTTGGCATTGGAACCTGAGGGTCGTGGGTTCAAGTCCCACATCAGACCAAGTTAAAGTTCCCTTGAGCTAGGCACTAGCCCCCAGCACTGCTCCCCGGGCCCCCCATTTCTCCCAATATCGGTGATATGATTAAAAAGGAAATCATCCGAATCCTCCATTTCAATTTAATATATCAAAAGATTTTCTCAAAAATGAATGAACAGTCTCTCACACGGTGCTCTTTGAAGCGTTGTGAGAAACAGACTCACATCTGCCGTCTCACACCAACTCTCGAGGTGTTGAGGAGATCTATTTCAGGTTGT